ATGAAAACTAGGCTGTCACAGACCTCCCAGAGGGCTTTTTCTGCTACCGTTCCCAGACTATGGAATGGCCTGCCAGATGAGATCCGCCTTATCACGACTCTTGACAGTTTCAGGAGAGCGGTAAAGACGAATCTCTTCAGGCAGGCTCTCCCGGAATAACTTCCCGGCTCATACAGAGTTGGATTGCTACCTGCCCCTTGCCGCTAATGCCTGTTTTTGTTTAAAAATTGGTAATTTTATTGTATTTATGTTTGTCTTAATTGTTATTTTAACTTTACATCAGTTTAATTTAGTTTTAAGGGGTTGGGAGGGTTAGGGATTGGGATGAAGGATTGTTTTAACTTGTTGACTGTTTTAACTTGTTGTATGCTGCACCGGTTGCCGAGCAGAGGGCCGGGATAAAAATAATTTATTATTATTATTATTATTATTATTATTCTCCGATCTCACCATCTTGAGGACCTTTGTAGATACTATAACATTGTAGAAATGTATGTCCTCCGGCCATCCTGATTTGGAAGGGGTTGTCCTGGTTAATCCTCTGTTGTCCCACTCTTCCCGATGCTTTTAAAACATCCCAGCTATTCCCTCCTTCTCCCTCTTTCCTTTTGTCCTCAGCTTACACCAGTTAATGCAAAATGAGTTCAAAGTGAAAAGTAGTTTTCCCTCAGCAGCAGGAGAGAAGAGGAGGGGTGGAACATTTTCCTTCCCAGAAGGCTCTGGTAAATTGCAAAGCTCTGGTAAATAAAAAGCCTCTCTTAACTTTTGTGTTGTTCCTTCTTAATAACTTTTGCCATCTTGACCACAATCTGATGTTACTTGGCCACATGTGTCCTGTTTTTCATCTATGAAATGCTGGAGGGTATGGGAAAGGGTGGCTTACACTAGTATAAGTGCTTTTAAAGACATTGCACAAGGAGGTACCATGTACCTTTTCGTGCAACATTTTTGCACCAGGTGTGAAAGGTACAGTTGGATGCTCCCAGATAGAGCTCTGTCCCTGACCCCCATCCCAGCCACTGAGTGGCCACAGGGGTGTGGATAGGTGCCATCTAGTTGTCCTTGTCCAACTGAGAAATGAAAAAAAAGTTTTTCCTCTTGTCTGGGGTGGTAGCCACTGCTTTTCCTGCTGTCCAAGACATACAAGGACAATAGGATGGGGCCTCTTGGGCACATCCCTGCTGCCATTCAGTGGCCATGTGTAGGATAACAGGTTTTCCATCCATGTACAGCATTTTGCTTGGTAAATACCTTTCCTGATTGGCATTTGGATACTTCTAAATTCATACAAATTGAAAGAATAGTTTTTAAATAACACTAAAATCCCTTTGTTGTGCTAAAGCATTACTGTTCAACCATCAGCCAGTAATTGGTCTCTCATTGTGCTTCTGCTGTTGCACCTGGTGGCTTATACATCAGTGGGTTGAAGCATTCATTCTGGGTTTTAGCCTGAATTTTACAGAACTGTCCAATGTGCAACATTCCCTTTTGACACTTTTTTGGCAGACACTCCCAGAGGGTTTCACAGCACCTCTATGAGTATTGTGGTGTAAAAAAAAAGTAACTTTTCCAAAGCTCTGCTTCTAGAGGGGTTGGCAACACCCCATAATAGTCAAAACAAATCTGTGCACAATCCCCTCCCCTTCTTTCCCCAATACACACACACACACACACAGAGCATATGTCTGACTCAGCCCTCTGGAATGCCTCCTGTCTGGGTGTGTGGGAGGGCTGGGTACCATGCCAGTCCCAAAGACCCTGGCGTCTGCTAAGAGTAATTACCTAGAAAGGGCATCTCTTGCTTTTAGAGTTGCTAGAACAAGGCTGCTTGCCAGTTTGTTGTGTGTGTAGGGGGAAGATGTGTGGGACCGCCTCTCCAGAAAGGAACAACATCTCATTCTCTGCCAGTGTCTTAGAGAAATCCCAGTTGCTCAGCTTTTCAAAACTTAGTTCATTCTCCTTCCAGCTGGAAGCAGCTGACTTAAGCAGGCACAATACTCAAGGCAAAAGCAGCAGAAGTTGAAAAAATCCAGTGCCAAAGAGTAGGAACAGACAATCCAGATTCAGACTGGGTGAGAATTCCCAGTCAAAGGGCAAGGTGCAGAAAAGGGCAGCCAAAATGAGCCACGGGAATGGCTCCCCTACAAGGAAAGGTGAAAACATTTGGAACTGTTTCACCCAGAAAAAAAAGGAGACCAAGATTAGACTTGTTAAGATTTTAAAATGACACATGGGGGTGTATGTCTGTGTGTATGTGATTTCAAGTTGCCTGTCTGGTCATAGTGATCCCGTGCATTTTTCATATCCACTTTGCATAATTATAGGACTGTGATTCCATTTTAACTGCCATGACTCCATTTTAAGGAATCCTGAAATTTGTATTTTCCTACATCACTTGAAATTCTCTTCAAGTGAGTTCTAATGCTGTCTAGGGAAGTGTATTAAAAATGTCTAAGCCCTCTCCAAGCTGCAAACCCAGGATTGCATATGATGCAGCCATGGCAGTGGAAATGGTATTAAACTTCTTTCCTGTTCCAGTATAGATAGCCCCGTGTTTTGGTGAAAGTAAGAATATTTTTTTGCCTTCCTTGCCTCTACTAGAGCTCAGGGTCATCCATATAAACTAAATGTTGGGATGATCCAACATGGCTCTTGTATGTCAAGAGCAAAAGACAGCAGGACTTTAGTTTCCCTGCATAGGATTCAACCAAGATGTCAAAGCATCACTTCACATTCATTTTATTGAAGTAATGGAGTTACTAGAAAAGCTGGGAAGGAGGAACAATACATTGTTTTCAACTCTGGAGGAGAGATCTACCTTCAAAGGGGACATTTCTCAGCTGTTTAGAAAATCTCCAGGGCTGTTGGCTCACCTACATCGGAAGCTTGAAATCTGGAGACAAGAGGGATTAGCGCTTGAAAAAGTGGTTTTGGACTTCAGCTCCCAAAATCTTCCAGCTAGTAAGCCTACTTGAGAACCAAATGTGTAGTGCTATTTGGATTTTAAGAAGGAGGAGAGGGAGGAGCAGGAAAATAAGTTTTTCTGCAGCCTATGAAAAGATGGAAGAGCCTTAAAGATAGTCCAACAGGATGAAATAAAATCATCATGTAGGTGTGACCAAACAAAAGTGAGCAGTGTGTCCCCGCCATAATTAAGGACCTTTGCACAGAAGCTGTGTGTACCATTTTGTCAATACTATTGTGCTCATATATTAGATACACTTCTTGTTTGCCCTGTATTAATTTCCCCCTCTCTCCCTTTCTTTCTTTCTTTTCTCTCCCTCCCTTTGCTTAAATTAATGCTCTTTCCTTATTTAAATGAAGGGATGACATGTTTTTTTTTTTAAAAAAAAGGTCTCTTCATCAGTGTGTTGAGCTCGTTGCAAATATATATGCCTTCAAGTCCCCTCCTCACTTATGGCAACCCCATGAATTTCATAGGTGGCCTTCCTGAAATATAGCCAATTTGCTGATGGCCTCTCATCCAAATACTAAGCCGGTCTGACCCTGCTTAGCTGCCTTACAAGATCAGGTGGGAGCTGGTGCATTTAGCATGTTGTCAAGATAATTG